GTTATTACAATCCTAAATCAGTGTATCCCAAAGAATCACCTGGAATTCCCAGACTCAGTCCTCAGAGATTTCTCAACAGATGGAGGGAAAAAAATAGCCTTTCCTTGCCTTCCTTCCTCACATAAGCATCCCAGCTGATCATTGATTCTTACCAGGGAAGCTTGGGAAACCCTAGATAACAGCAAAGAAATGTGGAAGCTCACAGTCTAGAAAACAAGAGTTACTTCAACTTAGAATGTAAGTTATCTTGTGTTCATCGTGCTCGGTGGGGACAAAAAGTAGGCTGCAACATGTGAGTCACCTGTTTTTTTTAAATGTATATACCATGAGACAGAAGGCCAGGAGGTACAACAAGATGGTAGAACTAGGTTTGGTGGGGCTCCGGGTTTTCTTTCCTTTGGTATCTTTATTCCACAGAGAATAAACCCAAACCTGTGAGGGTGAGGATGGTACTGATCATCTCCTACACTGGCCTGGTGATGATGAGCTCTTGCAACTATTCAGCTTAGCTTGACACAAATTCCTATGGATGTAGTAGACATTATTTGAATTAATCTGAGTCTACAGCCATACCACCCTGAACACGCTCGATCTCGTCTGAATTAATCTGAAATCCTAATTTTGTCTTTATCAAGGAATCCTCTGATCTTAGTTTCACACCTGAGAGAATGTCACAAGTAAATGGCTATTGTAACATTTTACTGTTTAAATTAGTGAATCAGTGCTCTGGCTTACCAACGCCCTTCTGAGGATGGCTGGTTTGAACTAATTCCTCAGAGCATAGCAATGCCCCTTACAAGCACTGGGGGAAAAAAAAAAGTGCAATTCCTGAACATGCAAAGCAGGCTCTCCCACAAACCCCATGAGGCCTGACCTCAAGTGGTAGCCAGATCTCTTAAGGAAGAGTCAAGTATTAGGAAGCAATATATTTGTTCTATTATGCAGAAACAGGGTTTCAATATAATACCTTGAAAAATATCTTAGTAAAATTACCAGCAAATTTCTTAGAAATCTGGTTCACCAACATTTTAAGTATGGTTTCACATGAAGCAGGAGTGACAACTGTTTACACCAAGGGTCTCTGCAAACTATGGCCTGTGGGCCAAATCTGACTCACACTGAGTTGTATAGCATCAAGCTAAGAATAGTTTTTACATTTTTCAAGAATGATTTTTACATTTTTAAGAGGTCATTTAAAAAGAAAAAACAGGGAAAGACTACAAAATATTTCTTGGATCCCTTCACAGATAAAGTCTGTCAACCCCTGGTCTACAGGAAGAAAGAACTCTGCTCGGTCCTACCCCTACCAACCAAAGTGGAATGTAAAAAGAAAATACTTAAAACTAACCAGATGTACAAGTCAAAGGCCAGTCTTTCAAACAGAGAGGGTCCTCCTTGATTTTAGCAACTCTGAGTCTAAATCCGCATAAATAAGATTCCAGTTATTTTGATAACAATTCTAATGAAAGAAATTACAGGATTATACCAAAAGCACATAGCTGAAGTTGAAAAGTCAAGCTGGGTGGCTGCTCTTCTTGAAGCTAGCTGAAAAATGGGCAATTCAATATAAACAACCATGTAACCTAAAATGCTAAAGCTAGGGGCACCTGGGTGGCTCAGTCGTTAAGCCTCTGCCTTCGGCTCAGGTCATGGTCCCAGGGTCCTGGGATCAAGCCCTGCATCGGGCTCCCTGCTCCACGGGAAGCCTGCTTGTGTTCCCTCTCTTGCTATGTCTCTATCTGTCAAATAAATAAAATCTTTAAAAAAAAAATGCTAAAGCTAAAAGAAATTCTCATTTTACAAATGCAAGAAGGAATTCAGAGAATGTAAGGAGGTATGAAAACAAAAAAAACAAAATGAAAAATAAGTATCAAGAATTACTTAATCTTTATGAATTCTTTCTGAAGGAGGTAAAGCAATATTACCATCATAAACATATAATTGATCAAACCAGGACACTAAAAATAAGTAAAGGGCATATAAAATTGTATAACTTTGAAAATATTTATTGATTACATATTCACTGTATTATACCGGTGGGCCTATAAAATCATTTTACTCAAACTCTATTTTCAAAAATAACTTTCGAAATGCACCCCATGAAACCTGTTTGGATTACCTGTGTGCACACAAGCAATGCGTTGTTAAAATGAAATATACTTTTTACCATGGATACTAGCCAAAAGTTTTAACATTGCAATGACTTGGAAGTACTCTCAAGCTGATGACTTTCTAATAATTCTACTGCCACAGCCAAAAGGAAAATTCCTTAGACACAGTAGAGCAAGAGGTATCATAAAACACTATACAGTTCTTCCATGAGGGAATGCAAAATAAAACACAAAGTACAGAATTTCTACAAATTTAAGGCCTCCAGTGGACTCATACTCTTAAGACACTGATCCTCACAGATTTCTGGGACAACCATAAAGTTATTGTATATTATCAACTTGTCACCAAGTGGCCTGCTGCTCTCGTCAAAGGACAGGACCATATGGAGAGCTCAGACAGCTCAGGCATCCATAGGGGCCGCTAATACATCAGTGTTGGTGAGAGCCCAAGCTCTTGGACCCATGAATGGTATCTGTCCCAGCTACCTCAACTCATCTCATCTGAGGCCCATTGAGCAGGCACTGGGGTGGTCTAAAGATGTCATAAATATGAATAATGCCACTTTTCAAATATATGTAGATATTGAGGTACTGAGGTTAATACAGTTCAAATCTAAAGACCATGAGGAATGGCTTCCAAGATGGAGAAAAGAGATGAGTACATACGCTGCCTCTTCAACAACTCACTTCAAGCCACCATGAGAGCAATGGAAGGAATATAGTAGTAGCTAACACTTTTCATTTATTCCTGAGGTTTCTTTTATTTTAAACCAAATTAATTCATCCTCTCCATTATAGATTGGTTCTTTTGACATCCAAGAAAATAAAAACAAAATTCAAAAGCATATAGACATAGTCTGAAGTAAATTTCTATAAATTAACATTTTCTACTTTATAGGACTTACATTTACTTATACTTTAAAAAACATTCCTTAACTCAAAAATGATGAAGATGGCAAATTTTATGTTATGTGTTTCTTACCATAATAATTAAAAACAATTGTGTAAAAAAGGATATTCTAATATAAAGGGATGATAATTGTAACAGGATATATTTAAATTCTTTTCAAAAGTAGGTATTAATATATTTGGCTGTTCTGTTTCTTCTTTAAGTGTATTTTGTGTGTAAAGTGTGTGTGTGTATACACACTTTACATATATATATACATATATATATATAATGAGGGAAGAGTGTATACAGAGAACTCTAAGGAAGCCAGGGTTATATACCAAGAACAGGAAAAACTGATTAACCCTGATGGTCACATAATAATCAGGTAAAAAGAGTGTGTGATAACACGTTACAAGAGGATGCATTAATCCAATGTCATCTAAAAAAAGTTTCTTAAAAATATAATGCTATGTCCCATGACTGATGTCACACCAAAATGGCAGGGCACCCACTGACACTAAATGATACTCCAAGATAAGCAGTCACAAGGAGTCTACACTGGTGATCCTCAGGCTCACTTAATTCCTATTAATACTGAAAAGTGTTTACTTTTATAAAAAGGGGGATTAATTGCAATGTGATCTCCCGAAATGGATCCTGGAATAAAGCATGTTAGTGTGAAAGTGGTGAAATCTGAATAAAGTGCATAGTTTAATGTACAGTGTTAATCTCTTACTTCTGATATGTACCGTGGCCTATAAATGTTAACAATTTCCTGTTAAGGAAAGTTGGGCAAATACTGTCTTTGCAACTTTTCCATATTAATAAATACTTCATTAAAAGGGGGCAGGAGGGACTTAAATTTTCAGGATGTTATCTATGCACACGGGAACACAAAACTCAGCTGTTGTGATGTGTGATAACAGCAACAGAGAGGAGTTATGCAAGCGTCATTTCAGAAACAACCCAGAGAGAAGGAAGTAGTGATGGGGAGCGGGCACCAGGGGGGCTCCCATGTGCTGGTCATGTCCTGTTTCTGCCCCTAGGTCGGTAGTTGCACCGGCATGTTTCTTTTACGATAATTCACTGGACTAGACTTTCCCCTGCATTACCCTTAAATTAAAAAAAGAAGTTAAGAAATACTTCCCTAGTTCCGATAAAGGTTAGAACGAAGAGAAAATCTGTCAATAAGAGATGTCTATGTAGGAGCAAAGACGTCTGTATGGGGGCAGTTGTGACAGTTACAGTATCACAGATCTAAGTGTTCGGAGCCAGGAAGCATCTTGTTAGTTCCTGGGTCCTGGCGTGGCCCATTCTTTCTGAAGCAGCCCTGGAGATGCTGACGCAGCCGGGCGCACTGTGCATTGGAGCCAAGTGCCCCGGGAGGTTGTGACGCGCATCCAGACCACAGACCCCTGAATGCCCCAGCGCAGCTAAGCACCCTCCACACCTCGTCCAGAGGCCAGCAGACCCCCTGTGGTGTTCTGAGTCCACAACAGAGAAATCTCAGTAAGTTCTAATAACCTTAAAAGGCCCAGCAAAGCTTCTTCTCTCAGAATGGCTTTTTTTACCCTATGAATCACACTGGGTTTTTCCAACATGGTTTAGATTTCGTACTTCCACTACTGCATCTGTATAGTTGTTGTTATTATTTACTAAATAATGGCAGATCGTAGATTCTTATGATACTGGAGCTGGAGGGCAACAAACCCTCTACTCCTTTTAAAGATGAGGAAACTGCTATCAGAGATGTTCAGAACTTGTCACAAGTTCCTAGAATTCAATTCTTTTTTAGGTCAATAAATTAAACTAGATGCCTCCCCCAGGGTTACTGTATGACTAGATGAACTAATACGCAGTTCATAAGAGCACTAGTTTATGACTTGGGTTCTTTCGTGTGTAATTCAGTTCATCATGGTTTCTGTGAATGTCTTTGCTGAAAATAATTCTTGCTGAACAGTATGATGCCAAAAGAAAAGACAACAAAAACACTTCGGAATATTTAAAAAAAATCAAGATCCTCCCTTTTTAATGTGTGGATCAATCATGTAAATTAAAGAGGAATTTAAGAATATTTTTTAAGAAATAACAATTTTAGGTAGGCAATTATAAGGAAGATAACAATCATACATGCCAAGGCTACGTGATTCTTCCACAGGCCCCAAGGGGAGAGATCGATGCCCTGGTTTAGCAAAAATTCTTCGCCAGTACATCTGAAATTCAACAGAAAAAGAATATGACTTCATTCTTAGCATTTGTCAAATTTTACTCATTTAAATCACTCCTCCCATAGGTTACCAAGGCTTAAATAACTATGCCTTTCATGTGTAACAGATGAGTGCTTACGAATCCATTAGATACTATGCTAAGCAATCTGCATGTAACAGTTTAGTTAATCCCTAAAACAACCCAATGGGGGTTAGTACATACATTTAAAAGATGAAGAGGCTAAAGTTTAAGGAACTTGTCCAAGTCCACAGACTCACACTGTGAACCAAACTGCTAGTCTCTGCAAATTCATTTGTTTCCAGATCTATGATGCTGCTCTCCTTAAAGGGCAGAAACATTTATCAAGTAATTTTGCCCTCACTCCTGATGGGGAAAACCTCAATTTTAACAGATGACATCAAAGGTCCTTACCGAGATGATCAAAGCTCTTTCTAGAACTCATCACCCACAAATCAGCCATACAAACGAACACAGGCTAAGAATTTTGAAACTGGGAAAAGAGGTGAGCAAGGCCTTCCTGGCACCGTCGCGTTCCCTTGGCTCTTGCACCAAGCCCGGTCTGAGCACTGCAGAAGCTCTGCAACATGCCATCGCCAGCAGGCCCACTTAACCAGGTGAAAGCCTCGGGCGCCTGGGTGGTTAGGCGACTGCCTTCGGCTCAGGTCATGATCCCGGAGTCCTGGGATCGAGTCCCACATCAGGCTCCCTGCTCGGCGGGGAGTCTGCTTCTCCCTCTGACCCTCTCCCCTCTCATGCGCTCTCTCTATCTCATTCTCTCTCTCAAATAAATAAATAAAATCTTTAAAAAAAAAAAAAATCAGGTGAAAGCCTCAGCAGCAGCCGAAACACAAGGGTGGAGTAGCCCTGCCACCGTTTAGAAAAGCACCTGGCACTCAAAACACCTGGTACAGCCTTAATTATTACCTGTTATCCCACCTTTGTGCAGCTCTTGAAATCTAGCAGTCCCCCCAAAAAAGTGTTAAGCCCAGACAAAAGAGAGGAGCGGGCAGGATAAAGAAAACTCTTTATAGAGGTTTTCTAGAAATACTTCAAAACAGCACTCTCTCCTGTTACTATTATTTCATGAAGGTTCATGAGATTTGGATACCAGCATTCTCTCTTCTTTCATTAGTTAATGTATCAGAATCAAACCGTTAGCAACAATCATCAATAAGGAAAGTGTTATTCAATTTTTAAAACAATATCCTCTGATTTTATGAAAATCTGCATTTCTGTTTCATTGACATTGTGCAATAAATGGGACTTCTTTCTCAGCTGACTGAAATGTGTTTCCTTCTTTAGAGGGTACATGCTTTAATAAGGATATTCCAAGTCATTTTAAGAGAAAAAAAAATAGCCGTGTAGACTTCGATTTCATAATGTATCCCATTTAAGTGCAGGAGGAAGAGGTACGTGCCACAAGCGCGCCCGGGAAATAGTCACTCCGTTCTGCTCTAGCTGCCTTTCAATCTCTTGCTCCTGGCCATGGGTTGGGCTTACAGGAAGCCTTAAGTTCATGGATCTGTACACTTCCCATAATCCATACAATTCCAATATCCTAAGGCTTCGCTAAAATATCAAACTCAAATGTTCTGAAAATAAAAGCTAAAACCCACAATCAAAACAGCGTTTTAAAAGGCCCCAAATGAACAACATATCAGAAACATTTCCCCAACTTAAATATAACTTTGACCAAAGTAGAATGTCAAGGAGATGTGCATTGGTGTACAACAACTCAGAGAAAGGACCCACACCAGCCACGTGGCCCAGTGGCCTTGCTACGTGATACCACAAGAGTAAGCAAATCCATTCTGACACTGAGTACAAACTTACATCGCATAGCTACAGGTATTATTCGCTGTTACATTGACTCCTGGGCAGAAGTTTTGTCCCAAAAATTCATTATGCTGCAAAGCCTGTAACACAAGGGTAGATGGGACAAGGTAAACAATTTTAAATTTCAAAAAGTCTCCAAAGAATGATCATGTCCTCCTAGTTTAATCTTTACTGCTATTTCTAAAAACAAACCAAGCTTCACATTCACGGTCTCGGTCACACCAGAGCAACTAAATTCTTTTCCCTGGCAATTGAGTGGCCTATGTTGGGATTCTGGCTCCTAAAACAATGGAAGTAAAGTATCTTCTAATTTTAATATATAAAATATGTACTCTAGGTTCCCATCCTCTATTTTCGTATGGAACTGAAATGCAACTACATGTTTTTATATCCATTAGTCAATCTTTCTCCTTCATGAGGAATTCTCTCTCCACCCCTAACCTCCCTCGGCAGCAGGGTGACTGGGGAAACCTCAGGTGATGATCAAGGTGAAACTCTTCTTCATCACTCTGAAAATGAAACCCCTGGGAGACTTTCACAGTTTATGGCTGGGGCCACGAGGTTGTTAGGCTTTATTCTGGTTGGTTCTAGCTTGGGAACAATGAAGCAGTCACAAGGACATGTGAGGAAAACTTACCACATAGCCATATCGAGGAATGCTGAAGTACTGAAGCCAGGAGAGCCAAGGCCCAACAGTTCTGAGATTTACCAACAGCCCTGAAAATATCTACAAAAAGCAAATGCCAAGAATCAGACCTGGTGAAGGGATTTCGTGGAGAATTACAGAGAATAATCTCTGCGTCCCTGACAACCCTTACAAACATTTCTTCTAAGACCTCTCCACTCTGCATACGTATGCCTCTCTAGAGCTGAGGCTGTTTATGGTTCTAAAGGAATGACAATATATCTAATAATACCTATGTCATTTAATTGGAAGACCCTTCATTGTCAAGGATTTTACTTTTGGTAACTGCCCACAATGAAAGGTCAATAAAGTACTGACTGTTCTAATGATACAACCATTATATGTTCACACCAGTAAACATACCAGAACAGATCCTGAACATCTCATGCCCCTCTCTATTTCCCTAACACGGTAAGATTTGTTATTTACAAGGGCTTGCGCTCTGCATGACTCCAGAAATAATCTGGGGTTCAGGATGCATGCTAAAATAACCCAAAGCCTGGAACTGATATACAGAATAACACGGGGAAGTACAACATAAAATATGGTGAATACCTTCATTTAAAGCTACCAAAGAGCAGGCTTACAGTGAAGATCCTGGGGTGGATTACTCCAGCAACAGATGGCTACGTGAGAAGAGGCTCATCTAAAACTTCTAACTGGCAGGAGGTATGCTGGGTTAGACCTAATAATGACAATCTTGCTGGAGTGACTACATATTTTTGAACTTGACTTAACCAGGTGCCAAACAGAGGACACACAGCATCTCTGAGTAAAATATGGTTTTATGACTGGTTATAAAGGATCTATAATACAAACTTTTAAATAATAATAAGGTGAAGCATCTAATATATCACACAAATATATCTATTTTTATAAATCGATGACACATTATTTATTGGATAACATGATAGAAAATACACACAAGGTTTATCACTTCCTCAATAATGTTTAGATTGGTGGATGTCAGACTCAGAAATGGAAGACTTAAACTTTGGCAAAAAGTTGTGCTAATTATGCTCCTTTTAAAGACATCTTAGCAGAAAAAACATGTGTATTAAGGAAACAGGCTAAACGTTCCTGTTCACTTGATGTAGTTAACGGAGCAAGGTGGTAACTAGCTGATTCACCTACTGATTCATCTAGGTACAGGTAAAATTAAGGGACATGTAAGGTTAGGCTTCAGTAACCATTTAAAAAAAAAAAGGTAAACAGAAATATATTGGTATAAGAGAAAGTCAGGAACCCAGAAAGGAGGAGACACAGTACTGTGTGGGCTTTGAAACTTTTTAAAACACCCCTTTTTAAAATATAGGAGGGACCCAGGATAGACTACCCACACTGCAAACTGTTCTATTTCTCATGGAGCTTAGCTATTCCCTTGGGGAGGAGTAGATCCAACCAAACCATTAAGTTACTACTTAAGTCAATGGTTCTCTAACACTAGCACAGAAGTTGGGTAATTAACCTGTCATTTTTATGAGGGAATCTTATAATCAAAATTTTTCTGGTTTTTGTGGGTGTTTTTTTATAAGTTTTTGTTTAAATTCCAATTAGTTTACACTCTTAAGATTAGTTTCAGGTGTACAATTTAGTGATTCAACACTTCCATACGATAGCTGGTGCTCATCACAAGTGCCCTCCTTCATCCCCATCACCTATTTAACCCAACCCCCTAACCACCTCTCCTCTGGCAACTATCAGTTTGCTCTCTGTAGTTAAGTCTGTTTCTTGGTTTGCCTCTCTCTTTTTTCCCTTATGATCATTTGTTTTGTTTAAGTTCCACATATGAGTGAAATCATATGGTATTTTTCTTTCTCTGACTGACTTATTTCGCTTAGCCTAATACTGTCTAGCTCCTTCCACATCACTGCAAATAGCAAGATTTCATTCTTTTTGATGGCCAAGTAATATTCCATTCTGTATACATACCACATCTTTTTTATCCATTCATCGGTCAATTGACATTTGAGTGCTTTCCATAATTTGGCTATTGTTGATAATGCTGCTATAAACATAGGGGTGCATGTATCCCTTCGAATCAGTATTTTCCCCCCCTCTGGGTAAATACCTAGTAGTGCAATTACTGGATGGTTATGGTTCTTGGTGCAACTGTAAATGGGATCGATTCCTTGATTTCTCTTTCTGCTGCTTCATTATTGGTGTATAGAAATGCAACAGATTTCTATACATTGACTTTGTATCCTATGACTTTAATGAAATTGTGTGTCGATTCTAGCAGTTTTGGGGTGGAGTCTTTTGAGTTTACTCTAGAGTATCATGTCATCTGCAAATAGTAAAAGTTTTACTTCTTCTTTACCGATTAGATGCCTTTTATTTCTTTTTGTTGTCTTGATTGCTGAGGCTAGGACTTCCAGTACTATGTTAAATAACAGTGGTGAGTGTGGACATCCTTGTCTTGTTCCCGACCACAGGGAAAAAGCTCTGTTTTTCCCCACTGAGGATGATACTGGCTGTGGGTTTATTGTATATGGCCTTTATGATATTGAGGTATGTTCCCTCTATCTCTACTTTGTTGAGGGTTTTTATCAAGAAGGGATGCTGTACTTTGTCAAATGCTTTTTCTGCATCTATTGAGAGGATCATATAAATCTTATCCTTGCCTTTATTAATGTGGTGAATCATGTTGACTGATTTGCAAATACTGAACCAAACTTGCAGCTCAGGAATAAATCCCACGTGATCGTGATGAATGATTCTTTTAATGTACTGTTGGATTCAGTATGCGAATATTTTTTTTTTTTGGTATGTGAATATTGAACTGAGCATTTTTGCAACGATGTTCATCAGGGATATTGGCCTGTAGTTCTCTTTTTCAGTGGAGTCTTTGTCTGGTTTTGGAATCAGGGTGATGCTGGCCTTATAGAATAAGTTTGGAAGTTTTCCTTCCATTTCTATTTTTTGGAATAGTTTGAGGATAAGTGTTAACTCTTCTTTAAATGTTTGGTAGCATTCCCCTGTGAAGTCATCTGGCTCTGGACTTTTATTTGTTGGGAGATTTTTGATTACTGATTCAATTTCTTTACTGGTTATTATTCTGTTCAAGTTTTCTATTTTTTCCTGTTTCAGTTCTGGTAGTTTATATGTTTCTAGGAATTTGTCCATTCTTCCAGACTGTCCAATTTGTTGGCATATAATTTTTCAAAATACTCTCTTATAATTGTTTGTATTTCTGTGGTGTTGCTTGTTATTTCTCCTCTCTCATTTGTGATTTTATTTATTTGGATCCTTTCTCTTTCCTTTTTGATAAGTCTGGCTATAGGTTTATCAATTTTACTAATTTTTTCAAAGAACCAGCTCCTGATTTCATTGATTTATTCTATTGGGATTTTTTTTTAAGTTTCTATATCATTTATTTCTGCTCTAATCTTTAATATTTCCTTCCTTCTGCTTGCTTTAGGCTTCGTTTGTTGTTCTTTTTCTAGCTCCTTTAGGTATAAGGTTATGGTTGTTTGAGATTTTTCTTCCTTCTTGAGGTAGGCCTGTATTGCTATATACTTCCCTCTTGGGACTGTTTTTGCTGCATCCCATAGGTTTTGGACCATTGTGTTTTCATTTTCGTTTGTTTCATGTATTTTTTTAATTTATTGATTTCCTGGTTGACCCATTCATCGTTTAGTAGAATGCTGTTTAACCTCCATGTATTTGTGATCTTTCCAAATCTTTTCTTGTGATTGACTTCAAGTTTCACAGTGTTGTGGTCAGAAAATATGTATGGTATGATCTCAACCTTTTTGTACTTATTGAGGACTGATTTGTAACCTAGTATGTGACCTATTCTGGAGAAGTCCCATGTTCACTTGAAAAGACTATGTATTCTGTTGCTTTAGGATGAAATGTTCTGAATATATCTGTTGAGTCCATCTGGTCGAGTGTGTCATTCAAAGCCATTGTTTCCTTGTTGATTTTCTGATTAGATGGATCTGTCCATTGCTTCAAGTAGGGTGTTAAAGTCCCCTACTATTATTGAATTATTATCAATAAGTTCCTTTATGTCTGTTATTGTTTTATATATTTGGATGCTCCCATATTGGGGGCATAAATATTTACAATTGTTAGATCTTCTTGTTGTACTACTGTCCCCGTTATTATGATATAGTGCCCTTCTTCATCTCTTGTTACAGTCTTTGGTTTAAAGTCTAGTTTGGCTTTTGAAGTTCCAGTTTATCAAGGTTTCACTATCTGTCACCAAGAAACATCTTTTAAGAACTAATTTGTAACAAAACGTTAACTGAAGTTATAGCAATTATATTAGAACAGTAGCCAAAAATGCTGGGTAATGTCAAGAAAAACCTGTACATTCTCTAAGCTGTACCTCAATACATGGTCTCCTTAAAGAAGAGAATCCCATTTACAGAATCCTCAAAGCAGGTTTTAGGTAACAGGTAAATTTGTGGGAAGGAATAGGGGGGGAAATAATTACTTCTCAGAGAAGCACAATTCCTACTCACCATCATAAACACAAAGGAAATGGTCATGAGAAGTGTTGCTATGGATACCACACTCTGGCCTGCTGCTATGGCCAGTGCCATAGAACTGGCCGAATAAGCCACCATCATAAGGGTAAACATCATGATGAAGAAGGCCTCCACAATTGGTTTCAAGCCTTAGTTGGGAAGAAAAGAGGGGGTTGAATTCAACTGCCTGGGTAACTGTGTATTTGGGATTGCTTACTGTGCAAAACACTTAATATTTTGAGAAACTAATACCAGAATGAAGAAAATTCATCCTCTATCCAACCACCTTGGGTCACCAATTTCATTACCAGTTCCCCCATGTTACTGTACAAAGTTATCATACAGTTTCTTTTTTATACTTGTGGCATAAGCACATTTCTGTATAACATCTCTGCTCCTTTATTTGTAATTATTAACAATTTCTGAGTGCCTGAGATGGAGAGCTCCAGGCAACACAACTGGCCCCCATTCTACCGCCTTTTCTTCTAAGAAGGAAACTCGTCAATAGCATATGTGTTTTACCCAAACATCACCACATGGCTGTTTGCTATAACTGCATAAGTAAATAAACTGGGAAGAAGATTACGTGACCTCTCAGCGGTTTCAGTATCTGGGGGAACATCTCCACAGTCCAAGTCGCCCAAGACAAAGCACCATATAATTCTGGGATTGAGGGTGGGGTTAAATAAGTTTCATAAAACTACTTTACAAACTATAACGGACTAATATTATGGGTCACACAATCTGAAGGTTTTGGAGTAAGACCACCAGTCAAGAGTCTGAGGATCTAGGTTCTACACCTAATTCTTTATGACACACCTCTTATATATAAAATGGAAGTTTAAACTCAATCAGTTGATGTTCCTCTATAGTGCTTTACTTATATATTTTTTAATTAAAATATATATTTCTGATGTGTGCGTGTGTTTTGTGTATCAGTAAAATATATGGAAATTCTGATACAGTGAGCCTGGGGTAAAGCCTAAACACAATGCAGAAATAAATCTAACTACATCTATCAAGCAAGTATTTGTATTAAAGCAGGAAGCCCTGAAAGTCACTGTCTCTCACTATGTTTACATATAAACACACAGACACACACATGAATAAAAATATAAATAAGTAGGGGTCGCCTGGGTGGCTCAGATGGTTAAGCATCTGCCTTTGGCTCAGGTCACGATCCCGGGTCCCGGGATGGAGCCCTGCATCAGGCTCCCTGCTCAGCGGGAAGCCTGCTTCTCCCTCTCCCACTCCCCCAGCTTGTGTTCCCTCTCTCGCCGTGTCTCTGTCAAATAAATAAAAAATAAAATCTTTGGGGGAAAAAACACAAACAAACATAAATAGTAACTACCCCAGCTCCTCCAGCATAGTCTCAAATAGTTTTGTGAATTCTTTCCATGTTTATAAATGACACACAGCATCTTTCAGTAAAATACAGTTTTATAAATAGTTTTAAGTTAGTTTGGGACAAGTCTTGACAAAAATGTCCTCAGAGAACAGTTATTTCATAGCACGCACAATGGATAGATGTCTCCTTCTCTCACTGGCTTGGTTTAGAGTCTGAGAACCAAAAACAAGTTGGTAAAAAGAAATCGGCTTGCCCTCATATCCAAAACTAAAGACACAAACCTTTTGTCATATTGCTTACCTAACAAGAAGTATATTATACAAGTAAATATAATACTTGGTAACATCCTCATGGGTAATAAATCAGATAACAGTTTTCCAAAGAAATAAGATGACACTCTGTAGTATCCACTGATATATTCATGTCTAAAAAGGAAAAAATTGTCCTACATTAGTTTAGGAAGGCAGAGACCAGATTGGGCTGCTTGCTTACCTACAGACTTCGCCGCCACCAGGGGTCTAATGACTACAGCTTCTCACATCCTTGAGGCAAACCCCTGCCACCATCCTGTCAGCATCAGGCACCATCTTGGGTGTGAGCCTCCCCTGTGATGTCTCCCCCACATGAGTCTGTGCAATACCCCTCTTCTCGTTATAGAACTCCCTCTGGATGCCATCCATTCTGCCCCCTGAGCACCCACTCCCAGTGAGCAGATCTGCATCTCCTCCCTCTCTTCCAACACTGGCTCTCCTTGAAGGACAGCGCTCCAGTAGCTGAGTTCAGTTATGGTAGAGGCTTTACTTTCTCCCCACTTCTGATTATGAAGTAGGTGGCTCTGCTATCCTCCGAGCTTCCTAATGCACCTTGGATCACTTCTTCCACTCTCATGATAAAAAAGAAAATGGCACTTCTTCCTTCAACAATCATACCTTTCAACTTTCAACCACACATCCCTGTCAGCCAGCAAATCCTGTTTCCTTCCCTCTCCAGTTCTAGATCCCTTCCTCTTCCTGACATCTTCCTCCTATAATTCCAAACTCCTCCACCAATATCTTTCGTTCCCTCTGGAATGATTCCTTTCCTCAGCATGTAAATATGGGCAAATCTCATCCAACTTTGAAAAACACAAGAAACAAAACAGCCCCTACTTTATTTTAAGGCTGCCCTTTTTGGTTCCTTCCATTCCCCTCCCATTGAGGGCTAAGCTGGGTCCACATTCTTTGTCAATTTGACCTCCACACCTTATATTTACTGCTCAACCTGCTACTTTCTCTCTACCAAGCCTCTCTAACTTTTCCTGTAAGGACCATTATGACTTCTCATTTGCTTAAAACAAAAGATCCCTTTTAGCCCCTTTATCGCTTGCTTTTTCTGCAGCATTTGGATTTGCTGGCTCTGCCCGATTCTTGAATTCCTTTTTCCCTTGGTATCAAGCCCCAGATGCTCATGATCATCCTTCCAGCCTCTGGCTGCTTTTTCTCAATTAACATTGGCAATCCCCAGGAACCAAGCTGTGGCCCAATACTGGATATGACCAGTTTGACCAACAGCCTCTGATATCAGATAGCCCCCTTCCTGGAACAGAGACCTACTCACATAAAGAGCTTCTTTTCAACCACAAAGAGCTCCACAGCTGACACACTGCTGAAACACTGGTTGGTCGTCAGGAAGAAGAGCACTCCTGATCTGCAATGAGAGAAAGGGGAGGGGGGAGCACTGCAGTCGATTAAACATTCTTAAATCAATTTTCTAACTACAAAACTCTCTCCTCAAACGATACCTTATAACATGAAATAGAAACTGTTCTGGTTAAAACAGAGGGAAGTATGTGCCCCATCAGCTTTCTCCCCACCATCTCTGTGTATCCACAGTGGTACCCCTAGGACTCCACAGAGCACAGTTTGGAAGTCAAGGTCCTGGATTACTATGGATCAAACTGTGTCCTCCCCAAATTCCAGTGTTGAAGCCCGAACCTTCAATGTGATGATATTTAGAGACAGTATATTTGGGAGGTAATTAGATTTAGATGAGCTCATGAGGATAGAGCCCTCACAATGGGATTAGTGTCCTTAAAAGGAAAGGGAGAGACATCAGCGTGCACACTCTCTCTCTGCCATGTGAAGACACAGCAAAAAGATAGCCACCTGTGAGCCAGGAAGACAGGCTCTCCTGGGAACCTGACCATGGATGCACCTGGTTCTCTAGAAGTTTAAGAAATTGTCGTTTAGACTGTTATTTAAGCCACCCAGCCTATGGTTCTCTGTAATGGCAGTGTGTGCTGATGAATATGAAGGACATAAAAATACTATCATCTTGAATATTTTTTGTTTTTTTAATTTTTTTTAATTTTTTTAATTTTTTTATTATTATTTTTTTAAGATTTTTATTTATTTGCCAGAGAGAGACACAGCGAGAGAGGAACCACAGGCAGGGGGAGTGGGAGAGGGAGAAGCAGGCTTCCCGCGGAGCAGGGAGCCCGATGCGGGGCGCGATCCCAGGAGACCTGGGATCATGACCTGAGCCGAAGGCAGAAGCTTCACGACTGAGCCACCCAGTCGTCCCATCATCTTGAATTTTAACTAACAAAAACAACAAGTATCATTCCTAATGTCTGAACAGAGAAATAGTGAACCAAATAAAGTCTGCAAAGCTAAAAACCTCTATTAGCCTCCTTTTTAAAGGAAAGAAGAAACTAAGACATGAAGAGGCAAAAGGACAGTGGAGGAAAACTTCAATTGACACATTACATATATCCACCACACAACTGGGAGTAGAGCCTTGATACTGTCCTTGACAAGTCATCACCAAAATGGTTTCCAACGTGCTCAAAAAAAAACCAAAATGATGTTGTTAAAGGAAAAATTTATTTGTGTACCTGTAAGAAAAGGAAGACTACTATTGCTTTTTTCTCAGTAAAATAATTAAGGCTTTAAAAGGAAAGTCACAGTTAATCTACACTTTGATAGATACACGCATTTTATGAAAGCATGCCAACATTCCTGAAATGAATGTTAAAAGTGTCGGGCTTCCCTTCATAACCAAACCACTTAATTCACATGGAGGATGTGAGTTGACACTGAAAGAGCTGAAGTGACCATCATTTAAATGACACAAGAATGGGCGCCTGGGTGGCTCAGTTGGTTAAGCAACTGCCTTCGGCTCAGGTCATGGTCCTGGAGTCCCGGGATCGAGTCCCACATCGGGCTCCTGCTCAGCGGGGAGTCTGCTTCTCCCTCTGACCCTCCCCCCTCTCATGTGCTCTCTCTCTCTCACTCTCTCTCTCAAATAAATAAATATTTAAAAATAAAAAATAAATGACACAAGAATGAGAGAGAACATTTTTAAAAATATAAACCCAAGTGTAAAGTCCCTCAAAACAAAAAAAGTTCATAGACACTTAGTAATTGTTTTTAACACCAAAAAATAACTTAAAGAACAGACTGTTTTATAAGTAAATGCTTATACAATAATTAATGAATGGAAAATAGCCAGACCTGGTACACAGGCAGCTATGTAACTATTTCCACACAAGTCAGCCTACTAGCAAAATAAAAGCTAACTTCAGAAATATGGGACATGCAAAAAAAAAAAAAAGAACAAGAACAAGAAGAAAGGAAGGAAGGGGGGGAGAGAGAGAGAGAGAGAGAGAGAGA